GCCGAGGGCCTCGGGGGGGGAGGGGCGCCCCACCGCCCGCGCAGGCCCTCCTACCGCGCTGAAGTCCAGCAGGTCGCTTAGCTCCTTGTCGGTGCCGATGGCGGCCAGGCGCTGCTGCTGCTGCTGCTGGTTCATCTTGGCCGCCGCCGCCGCCGCCACCTGCGGGACGGGCACCCACCGGCCGCCCGCGACAGGCGGGCGACGTGCGCCACCTCCTTCCCTGGCGGAAAGCGCGGCCTCCGCGGGCGAGCTCTGAGGGGTCGCAGCACCGCCACGTCGCGCCGCCTGCCCGGGATCCCTCCGCGCCGGGCGTGGCTTGCCCTTGCCCCGCCCATCGCCGGTGAACGCGGCGGCGGCGGCTGAGCCGGCGCTCGAGAAGAGCCCAAGGGCCGCTGTCCGGGCGCCGGCGGAGAAGCCGCGGCCGGAAGGCGACGCCAACGGGGCCGTGGTGGGCAAGAGGGGGGGAGCCGAGGCCAGGTCGGCGTCCCGGGGAGGCTGCCGGGCGGCTTGCCAGGCCCGGGCTGACTGGTGTGTGTGTGTGAGACTTTCCGGTGCAGCCGCCTCGAGGGTCCTAATCTCCGCAGGAGCAGCTCTGCCCCCCCCGCAGCCCCCCCGGCGCCCACGCGCATTACGCTCCGGTCCCCGCGCGGAGCGGCGGCCCTCGGACGGGACGGGCGTCTGAGGCGCCCGAGCCAGGCCCCGCCCCCACGCGCCTGCGTCGCGCCCCCCGAGCGGCCCGTGGAGGGCGGGGCGCGTGTGGCTCCGCCCCCGGCGCTCATTGGGGGCCGCGTCTCGCAGGCCCGGCCAGCAGAGCGGAGGGGGGGGGGGGCTGCTGTTTCCAGGGACGCCCCTCGGCCGTGCGCGGGAAACAAAGGGCGGCGCGGGCGCTTCGCTTCCGAACGTGCCGGGGCCCTGGAGGGTTTGGCGCGCGGGAAGTTGCCGGGCGCGTCTCCTACCCGCCGGACCGGCCAGCGCCGCCTGCGGGGAGACACACCGGCCGGGCGCCGCCACCGCCGCCGGCCACGTGGGGCGCCCGAGGGGAGGGTCCTCCGTGCGTCCCGACCCCCGCCGTTCGTGGCCCAGCCGCCGCCGCCGCCGCCGCCCTCCTCGCCAGCCCCGCCGCGCCCCCGGGTAAGCCCTCCGCAGCGGCCCCGCGCAGTCCGGCAGGGGAGGGCGCCCTGGCGGCCCCGCCATCTTGGATGGAGCGCGGCCTCCTCCCGCCCCGAGCGGGCCTGGCAGGCGGGGGCGGCCGGCGGGGTGGTCGCGGCGCGCCTCTTTCCCCAGCAGGCCCGCTGGCCACATAGAGCGGCCCCCCAGCCAGGCCTGGGACGGGAGGCGGGCGGCCTCCGGGGCTCCCGGGTGGCTGGGCGGTGGGAGTGAGGGGGGCGGGGGAGTCGCAAGGGTCGGGGGCTCCGTCTCGCCCAGGCTGGAGCCCGGCTGGGAAGCCCCGGAGAGAAGGGAAGGTGCGGGGAAGCCTCGGGCGGGAGAGAAGGGGGTTGTCCGGGGAAGCCCCTTCGCGCTTGGCTCCCCCGGGAGATGATGCTGGGCTAAAGGAGCAGGAAAGGCCGAGGCCCTATTATCGGGAGCCCCTCCTCTCTCCCCGAAGGGCTTTCCTGGGGAACCGCTTTGCTCTCTGATCCCCGCCGCCTCTTGGGATTTGAAATTCTGGGCCGCCGCGCCTTTCCTCCTGGGCGGGTTGAGGGGTTGTTCCCCAAGGCCACTGCCTGGTTCTTAGGCAATTCTTTGTCCTGGGGCGCCTGGGCCAGCCTGAAGTCGTGAGGAAATCTGGGTTCCTTCCTTCGGGGAGAGCTGGGCTGGGCCCAGGGAGAAGGGGCGGCTGGGGCTGGGCCAACCCTCTGCCTGCTGCCTAAAGTATTGGGCTGGGCTGGGTAGCTTGCTTGGTCTAATCCATTAAGGTCACGGGCTTTTTCGAACCTCTGGGGCCACACTTGGTTAAAGCATGTCTGCTGGGCAGAGGTAGAAAAAAATGGCCTTTGGGTTTCCTTTTGTGAAGATGCAGCCGTTCGCCTGGGCTGTAGGGTTCCTGAGCCCTTTCTTGGCCTGCCCAAACCGCAGCTTTAAGCAAGGAGTGCGGCCGTGTCGTGTCGTCTTTTCAGGATAGAAGGGTCTGTTCCACCTTCTGCTATTTTCTCTCTCTAGTTCCACAATGGCAGAGCTTTTCATGGAATGCGAAGAAGAAGAGCTTGAACCCTGGCAACAGAAAGCAAAGCCCATTGTTGTTGATGATGATGACGAAGACGACGATGAGCCTATCTTTGTTGGGGAGTTCTTGAGCACCAAACCAACCAATACCTGTAAGGGACTGTTTTGAACTGGGGGCGGGGGGGGGCACGCACAAGGGAAAGAAGGGCAGGCTTCAAAAGTTAGTCATCACCGCCTGGTAGGGAGTTGCTAATAGGCTCCGATCAAGCTTAACTTGCACGTCTGCCCAAAATGGTTCTACTCCAAAACCCTGTTGAACTGGTAGGAATCATAGCGTAAATGTAATTTAGTTAAACTGGGATAATTGATTACAATGCTCTTGGGTCCATTCTTGGAACAATTGCAACTTCCAGGAATGAGAAGACTGCAAACACTTTTTAAGACTTAGGGCAACTTCACAGGGAGATGTTACTTTCCTTCTTTAGGTACATATTGATAATTTCCCTTGAGCATATTTTCTTTCTCCTGTAATTTCTGAAAGCAGTAATGATCATTTTTAACAGATATATTGAACAGAGTTAACCCGAATTCATCAAGAATTGGAGTGCAGAATGGTGCCCCCATAAGAGGTATGATGTTCTCCAGCGATGCCAAGTGTTGAAGTCTCTGAACGCTTCTGAGTCTAACTGGTCTTTTGTTTCCTGGCTCTCACGGCAGGTGCTGTGGCTGTTTCTCCGGGGTTTCACTCTTCGGGCAGACCCGCAACTAGTACCCTAGCCGTTCAGCCACAGCCACGCGTCAGCAGCATCTCGGGATCATCTCAGGTCTTGCAGAAGCCGCTTTCAGGATGTTCGTCACCGCAGGAAGGAGCCAAGTCTAGTGCTGGGATCTCCCAGCCCGTCAATATATCTGCCCCTCCCCAGTCCTTGTCACGGAATCTACATATTCCTGCGTCAGCCCAGTCTGCGTCCAGGCCGGTGGCCACCGTAACAGCACAGCCAGTTGCACTGAACCGGGTAGGTTTGGAGTTGCCCTATGGTGCCGGCAGCAAGAGTCCCCTGACCTGTGAGGGCTGCTGCTTGCTGCGTCCTGGAAATAGTTGTGTTAGAATTAGAATTTTATTATTTGTATGCCGCCCTTCTCCGGGAGGACTCAGGGCGGCGAACAATTCAAGGGGGGAAAAGGGGAAAATAAAAAACAAAAAAAAAATAAAAAAAGAAAACAAAAGTCGAACAACAATAAAT